AAAAAGTGTTTAAAATTAGTGTCTAGCCGCCAAAATGTAAGAAAACACATATATTTTTCACAATTTTCTAACACTTCGCTACACCGTCGAAAGCAAAATTCTGTTCGACAGAAAATTCGATACTCAACGAAAATTTCGACACGCTTGCATAGCTCATAATACGAATTTCACTTTCGATCTTCGATCTTCGATACCCAGCGAAGATCGAAAATCGATTGCCGCTCATAATAAGGGCCACTGTTTTTGTTTTTAGGAGTAGGGTGGGATTGTCAGTGATAAAATAAGAGTGAGAGAAAGTTTTTCTTACAAAAACTTTAATTATTGAATCATGGGGTTCACTTGGTATTTTTTCACTTATCAATCAATGAAAATCATGCTTACATTTATTAGTAAAAATTTAAACTCGCCCGGGCGATCTCGGGCTAGTGTGAAACAAACATGACCTTCAAAGAGGCCCTCAACAGCTTGAGAACCAACAAAAAATGGGCAGTTTCGGACCCCCGCTAGCAAAAAAAAAAAACCTATTAACATTATTCCATTCGATGGTAGAAAATTTAAATCTAAATGAATATTCGTAATAGCCCCGTCAGAATGGATACTTGTACGTCAATACCAGAAAAGTACGCGAAGGAAGTGGCGTACCTAACGTAGAGATATGCCACAATGAAGGTGTTGCGTCTGCAAACAAAAATCAGCTGTTCTTTATGGCTTGAACTTTTTTACTAATATTCACACTTATATTTTACCTTCGTCACTATCCTTGGCTTTTCGAAGAAAGTTTATTGTCTGGGCGGCTACTTTACTCAAACAATGTGGCAAATAATACATATTCTCAATTCTCAATTGTCTTGTCTTGTGTAAACACAAGATTATACAACTGTCAGTATTGCCAGGCTTACTTGCGTCAAAAGGTGAGTGTTGGCCAACGTTCGTTGGGTCCGTCGACACAAGAGTTGCCAATCTGACGCTCTCGATTCAAACACGCAATCTACTCAACTGTCAGTTTCATCCTTGAGCAGAACGTACGCAAAGTACCCATTCTGATAGGCCCGTCAGAATGGGTACTTGTATGTCAATAACGGAAAAGTATACGAAGGATTTATTTAATTATTTAATTATTTATTTTTTAAGAATATATTCACTTTTTTTGACGTTTTCGATACTGTCTTTGGCTTTTCGAAGACAGTTTACTCTCTGGACGCCTACTTTAC